GACACAAGGCTCCGTGACGATAGAAGCCAGCATCACTTGGGTCTCTGCAAAGCACAGTGTGCGAAGCCCAATCATAGCTGTTTTCGGTCTTCCAGAATGATCGGATGCAGAAGTATCGGCCAGTTGTGCCAAATACTACTATCAGTCAGGTGTGTGGTCTGTTCTTAACTCGTCTCATCAAACAAGAGGAAGTAATCAGGTGTGTGATCTGTTCGTTACTCTGTCTGTTCGTCTCTCGTTCTTAGAAAATTAAAGTGACTAGCTGTAATGTGCAATGCAGAATCTCAATGGACGTACTAGAATGATGGATGTTTGTGTAACAAAGAAAAAAGATGATGTGTGTAATAAATTTGCAATGCATGATGGAAGGCTGGATGAATAAGATGAATGGACTAGGAATGTTATGTCCTATTGTTCTGTTCAAGGCTTCATGTGTATGCGTACCAATGTACACTGAGTAGTTTCTATTATGTGATCACTTGGGTGTATATGGTTCAGATTATAGGTTCTAGATTGCACTAAATTTATCATGCAAAGTAAGTCGTGGTGTGGAGATGTACTAGTGCTTCAACATTTTACTGTTCTGCTGAAGAAATCATCTACAGTTATCTATGTATGTGAAGCAAACTTTAAATTGAGTTGCATAGTCGAAGATGTCACTACATTTATGCCAAAAGATGGTGTTCAGTCTTTTAGTCTTGGCACCCTTGATAAATGGACATGCTTACACTCTCACGTTTGTCCCTGTGATACATTGACTTGCCTCGCTCACCCCTCCAGAGTAAGTTAAAAAATGTGCCCTTAAGGGCATGTGCCCCTGCTGCACTGCACTCAATGTAATACATACAAAACACAGTTCACGGTAACCAAGACCAAGCCTCGTACGTAATTTCGTTTCACCGTTGGTGGCGGCAGCAGGAGACGAAGCAGTGGACTCCTTTCCCAGCTCCTCATCCGTGACCGTGGGCACGGCCACAGCGGCAGCAGCTTGTCAGTTTCTCCCGTGCTTCTCTCGCCTTGCCCCAGCCAGAGCACCATGGACAGCGTGACGTCCATGTAAGTAGGAACAACTGATTCGATGATCAGTAGTTCTGCTTTTAATTACCACCGCGTACTATTGCTGACGCCCGCACGTCAACGACCAGCTCCGCCACCGCGTGCGAGGTGGCAATACCGCGTGCGAGCTCCTGAGTGAGACAGCCTCGTAGTGAGAGACCCGCCGCCGGCCCCCTGCCTTCTCCCCGGCGAGCTCGCCTGCGACAGGGCAGGAGGGCCGGTTCCCCTTCCTCCTCTCCTTCCCCTCCATATCTCCTTGTAATATTCCCTAGTGAAATAAGCCCCTTCATGGGAGTTTTGAGGACATCTATCCTCCTCATCTCCGTCGCGTTGGAGGTGGGTGGACTGCTCGCAGCCATGGTGGCCGACGAGGGTCTCCTCCAAATCGACACGGTGAGTACTTCAATAAAGCCCTACTACTCTCTCGTGCTTCCTCCTTCCTCGCTCCCTGGCAGTCTGGGTGGCATGGCGTCGCTCTCATCCAGATCGAGTGAAGGTGGAGGTGTGGACAGCGACAGCTTCAGCAACACCAGCGACCTCGACCCGCCACGCGCAGACATGGCGGAGCAGCCGTCCTCGTCGTCCCCGCGTCCGAGCTTGCTGCGCAACCTGGACTGCTGGATTTCCATCCGGATCTACGGCGTCCAGGCTGTGCTTGCGGCTAGGGGCAACGATGGCGGGAAGGTCGGGGCGGCACCAAGAAAGGGCGAGGAGGACAAACACGACCTTGGCGACGGCGCGCCACCCGAGTGGGCGCTGCTGCTCGTCATGACGGAGGCGTACGCAAGAATCCTCCGCCTCGCCAACCGAAGATGGCGCCTCGATGGAGGCCAGCGGGGCCTCCACCGGACCCAGGCCAAACCAGGTGGCCTTGCGGACCACCATGACGACTACGGCGCCGGGGCGGCGCTCTTCCCCTGGGGAGTCGTCTATGTGCTGCTCGTCGCCGTCCGAGCGCCCAACTAGGGCGGACCAAAGGGAAGCCACCGGGCTTCCTTCCTCCTACGCAGTTGGGCCAGTGCGGACACCGGTGCGGGTGCAGCAGGGTGCCGATTCCTTGGCCCTCTTCCCCGGCGACGACGACATGCTCGGTGGCAGCCCCATTGCCGCCGTGCGAGGCACTCCTGGAAGCGGCTGGGTTCAGATGCGGATGGGAGAGGACGGTTGCACTTCGGGTGTGGTGTGCAGCCTGTCTACGCGGCCAATCCTGAGCCTCTTCCTTTGAGTGGTTCACGAGGTGCTGCCGCGTGAACCTGTGCATCATGCACGGGCCCACGACCTGTGCTTTGGGGCCTACCAAGGCAACGTGTTCTACATGCAGGAGCGAGTGTTGTACTCCTCCGACCTCCCACGGTGACATGTGCTATGTTCCAATTTGAATGCCGTGTCAAACATGCAGAGCACTGTCATGGTTCCGACGCTGGGTGTGTTCAACAGGCACGACGAGTCTTTCATTTCTGTCAATCTGCTTTTCTATTTTTATGCGGACATGGAAGTGGTAAAGCAGCGATCAGTGTTTTGGTGACCGCCAACGACACGCTGGTTCTCAGATTTGACACTAATGGCTGTGGACCCATTCTCTTGAGCCCGGTGAAGCCTCCATTCTATCTACGGTTCAAGACTAATTATCCTCGAGGACACAGGCCGATTAGACAGTCGAGGGGAGCGCCGACTGTGGTATCGGAATGCGAGAACGAGGACCCTCGATGCTTCTATCGTGGCCACTTCTTGTGGGCCTTATGGCTCTGAGGGGCCCGCGCCCCCACGGAAGCAACCTTCAGAAGCAGTTCAGTAGTAATCTGAAAATTCTTTTTCCACCCTGGTGTAAAGTGAGTTAACGTTATATATTAAAAGTTATTGTTGTCAAAAAAAAAAAAATACCACCGCGTAGCGAAGGCCGACGAGTAGAGCCGGATGTGGAGGCCGAGGCTCCAGCGCGGCATGCATGTCCCTGTACTGGAAGCAGAGCAGCGCGGACTGGACGGCGCCGAACAGGAACACGAGCGCGGCGATGACACGGGAACACCTCCCTCTCCCTGAACCTGGCCTGGATGGACAGCCAGACCGCGTAGCTGAAGCAGATGGAGATGGCGATGGCGATGGCGATGGCGATGGCGATGGCGAGGAACGAGCCCACGACGATCCGGCCAGCGGCGGCGGGAGGCGTCGTAGATATATAGATTTGAATGGGAAGCACTCCTTCGCACGCGCGCCGACCGCACCCAGCGAGCCAGGCTCACGTTTGGTCGCTGTCGCCTGTCGGCATGCTAGCTAAACGTGCTGTACGGCGCCGGCTTAGCCCACGCGTGTCGTCACTCGCCGCCAACGCCTCCGGCCAGAGCCGTTGTTGGGTTCGGCGACCTCGTCCTTCGCCATCTGTTCGTTGCAACTTGGAAGTGCTGTGCATGGCCGCGCGCGCTGCCTGCTATTCTCATCCACGGTCCGCCGGCCACCACGCTCCGCCGGTCGCCGAGGACGCCACCAAGCTGGGGGCTTGCCCTCGGCGTCTGCTTCGTTGGATGATGGATGCTATATGTCCGAGTCTGACGCGGCGCATGGAGACTCCGGTTGCGGCGAGGTTTTGGCCGATGGCCCGCGCAGGGCAAAATTTCTCGCGCACTCCGATGTCCGATCCAATTCCTTGGATCAAGATGATCAAACCGTTAAAGATTCCTCGTGTGTCGTAGTTTTAAATAGCCGGCTAAGGTGTTCAGCGGTATATCAGCTAATAGCGGAGCTAAACTGGGCTATAGCGGGATATAGCGACTACATTGTACATGAACACAAATAGCGACACACTAGCGGGCTATAGCGGCAGCTATAGCGAGAGATTTAAAACATTAGACAATACTAGTTCGATACGGTTAAGTAATCATAATAATAATTAATACCAGTTACGAGCTAGCGTCGTGGTAGAGGTCTTCGACGACAGCACGATCGATCGATGACAATGTCGGCGTCTTCCTCTGCCGCCGCCGGCGGCGAGGCCGAGCCGCTGGTGCACGCCGCGTTCAACAGCAACGCCACCCACTTCGTCGCGGCCACGGCGTCGGGCATCCGCGGCTTCTCCTGCACCCCGCTGAAGCACGCGTTCAGCATGGGCTTCGTCCCGTCCCCGGGCGCCGGCTCCCGGGTGATCACCGCTGACCTGGCTCCCTCGGGTACGCTCGCCGCCGTCGTGTTCAGGCCGGCGCCGTCCGCACCAGACGCAGACGCAGACGCAGACGCAGACGACGAGGGCGACAAGATCAGGTACTGCAGGTACGTCCTGCGCGGCGAGATGCTGGGCGACGACATATGCCCCTCCACGTCCTCCTCGTGCCGCGTCCGCGCCGTTCACCACGCGGGCGGCCACGTCCTCGTCGCCGGCGACGGCAAGGCGGCGCTCCACTACACGACGTCGGGGCGCGCTGTGAAGCGGTGCCTCGAGGTGGACACGGGTCCTAACCCGCTCGGGGTGTGCGCGCTGGCGGAGGCGCGCGACGGCAAGACGGTCGTCCTCGCCTGCCCGCGCCCGGCCAAGGGGCAGGTGCAGGTGCAGGTCGGGCGCCGGGGCAGCGGTGGTGCCCGCGTCGACGTGCACGCGCATAGCTCCAGCGTCGTCTGCGTCGCGCTGTCCCGCGACGGCAGGCTCCTCGCCACCGCCAGCTCCAAGGGCACCGTCGTCCGCGTCTTCACCGCCGCCGACGGCAACAAGGTCAACGAGGTACGCACGCTATATATGTGCATGGCACACCCGCTAATTCGTTAGTCTTTTTGTCCTGCAAAAAAAAAAACTTTTTTCGATAAATTGTTAATCTTTTTGGGACACATATTAGTTAGTTATAATAATGTAAAAGAAAACAACAAAATCTTAACCGACTTTTGGAATATCCACTTCTACGTATAACAACGCCCGCAGCTTCGCCGCTGATTCCCTCTCGACGAGAGAGGAAACCAAAACAATGGCGTCCTCCGTCGCTAGGACGTGGACGAGGCCGACGCCCACGCTATCGCATCCTCTCGTCTACCTATCCTTTAGCCACGACGCGTCCTGCGTCATAGCGGCGGACGCCTCCACCGTGCACTGGCTCAGCTGCGACACCTTCGCCCTGCGCGGCCTTTACCAGGAGAGACACGCCAGCAGGGCCGTCGTCGCCGCTTGCGGCGACATGCTCAACGAGAAGGCGTCCACCTGCGCCGTCGTGACGACGACGCGCGCCGCCGCCCGCCTTGCTGGCGGCTCCGAGACGACGACGTTCGCCGTCAGGCGCTGGAGGCCAGGCTACCTGAACTACCACTGGCGCTACGACGAGTGGGCGACGGACATCGAGGCCGGCGAGGTGCGGGCGGTCAGCGTCCACGGCGACAAGACCATCCTCGTTCTCGATGGCCGCGTGGACGTGTACGGGCTCGGCGGGGACAGCTGCGTGCATGTGCTCCACCGGGTGGAAACGCGCAGCGCCAGGCCCCTCTGCGCCGCGTCGCGGGCCGCGCCGGTGGCGTTCGCGTGCGCCGGCGCGGAGGTCGGCGAGGTGCTTGTGGAGCGGTGGGCGGCGGCGGCGGGCGGTTTCGCGCCGCTGTCGTCCTTCCGTGCGCATTCGTCGCGGCTTGAGTGTGTGGCCGTGTCCAGGGACGGCCGGTTCGTTGCCACGGCCAGCTTCAAGGGCACCATCGTGCGCGCCTTCCACGCCGCCGATGGCATGTTGCTTCGAGAGGTCAGATCGTCTCATAGTTTAGGTGACTTTGACTAGATCACAGTGGCGGCGAATCTAGCCGAGAACATAATCGGGCCATCAGGGTCAAATTCATCATCATATCACAATAGTATTTTTACCCAAAGGTTTCACAGATAAATAGCTACTGAATCTCATCAGCCACATTGTTCATGTCGTCGTTGGTTGCAGCTACGAAGAGGCGCTGACAGAGCAGACATCTACAGCATGGCGTTCTCTCCCGAATCCAAGTGGCTTGCCGTCTCCAGCGACAAGGGGACGATCCACGTCTTCAGCGTCAACGTGGATGTGCCCTCGCCGTCGCCAGCACAGGAGGACAGCCACAGCCCTGACACTGACAGTCCCAATGCTGGCTCTGCACTGAACGCCAAGCAAGGCTCATCGTGGTCTTTCTTCAGTGGTACAACAACTTCTTTGCGCAACTCATCTATGTTTAGACTGTAGATAGAATGTGTTGTTTCTGCACTTTTTTTTATTTGTAAATGTAAAGATGGACAGATGGTAATGCTAAGAGTGCCTGGAACTTGAATACTTGCAGGTTTCGTGCCAGGATATTTCAGGCAAGATGGCTCGCTTGCCAAGCTCCGCTTGCGTGAAGGCGTCAAGTACGTGGTGGCCTTCAGCCATGTGCCAAACACCATCCTCGTCGTCGGCATGGATGGAAGGTGAGTCTTGTGAGACTAAGACTGCTCTCTGAATTGACATTTGGATGCTGTTTTCTCTTCAGATAAAGTAGCTTCTGATGTTTTGTGGCTGTACATCGTGCAGCTTCTATCGCTGCGAGTTCGATCCGGTGAAAGGAGGTGACATGAAACAATTGGAGTACAGGAACTTCTTGAAGATGAAATGATGGCGGGCCAACAGATGGCTATTATGTTACTGATCAAAGCTACTTGTAGTTTGTGCAATCTTCTGATTGGAATCTGGCATTCATCAGTGTGACCAAGAGTCCAAGCAGAAAAACAATTTTTATGGTTGTACATACCGTTAGTTTGTCTAAAATCTTAAGTAGAAGATGAGACACCAAGTACATCAATCTACGCTATCGAAATTGCCACTGCATTGTCGTCTATCTGAAGTCTAAACAGAAGATGAGACACCTACATCAATCATTGTCGTCTATCTGAAGTCTAAACAGAAGATGAGACACCTACATCAATCTATGCTGATTATATGGAATTGGTCAATCAAAGTAGTTTGTAGAAAATAACTGTTTCAAATGGTTTCTGTGGCATTCCATAGTAAGCTGTTTATAACGTGAAGAAATTTGACAGCACGGAGATAGCCCGGTTGATTGAAGCAATGTGTCAATAGACTTCAAACCAATTGGAAGGCAGGATGAATAAGATGAATGGACTAGGAATGTTATGTCCTATTGTTCTGTTCAAGGCTTCATGTGTATGCGTATCAATGTACACTGAGTAGTTTCTATTATGTGATCACTTGGGTGTATATGGTTCAGATTACTACGTTGCACTAAATTTATCATGCAAAGTAAGTCTTGATGTGGAGCTGTACTAGTGCTTCAACATTTTAGAGTTCTGCTGAAGAAATCATTAACGATAATGATTTCACCCGGGCATCCGTGCCGACAGACGCGTCTCCCCACTCGCTAACGCGTCTTTGCTCCGTCTCGTCCGCACCCCGCCAAAATAAAATAAAATTCTCCACCGTCTGCCCCCACCGCGCTGCCCCTTCGCGTGCGCCCGCCTCCACCGTGCGGACGTGCTCGCTGCGCCGTGCTCACCGCGGTGCCCCTGTCATGTGTGCCCGCCTCCACCGCACGGCCGTGCTCGCTGCGCCCGTGCTCACCGCGGCCGCGCTGCCTGCTTGCTGTGGCCGGCCCGCTCGCCGCTGCCGTCTCCACCGAGCCGACGAGCCTTCACGACGGATGCTCCATCAAGCAGGCGAGGGGGGGGGGGGTTGAGCTTCGTGTGAAGTCGTCTCGTCGGCAAGTTACCCACACCACTGGCGCACAACGAGCTCCATGTGCCGCCGTCGAGATCCACAACAACAAGCGTCCATTCGTCCAAGCAACAAGATGACATTGCGTTGAAAGCCCATGTTGCAAAGGTACATTTCAAATGTTTTATCTGGATGTTGCAAGTGTTTCGTCTTGATGTTGCAAAAGTAGATCGGGATGTTGCACATGTTACAATGGTTGTACATGTATGTTTCAAGTGTATGTTCCGAATGTTTCATCTGTTTTTTCAGACGTATGTTTGCAAGTGTTTCATTTGGATGTTGCATATGTTTTTGCAAATGTTTCAGTTGTTTTCATACGTATGCTGCAAGTGTTTCATCTGGATGTTTCAAAAGTAGATCTGGTGTTGCAGCAAGTGTTTCATATGCACATTTCAAGTTTTACAACTACTATTTCATTTCTATTTTGTTCATCCTTTTTTAATTAGCATATGTCTACTGCTACTGTATTTCTTATTTTTTCTTCCATCGTAAATTCTTGGCCGACCATTTACTTTTGTTTACTCAGTAACCACTAGTCAGATCTTTTTTTTTTTTAAAAAAAAGTAACGACTAGTCAGTCTGTTTGTTTGTGTTAGCACTCGTATATGTGTACATCGTGTGCGTCGTGTGGCCTTCTGGCCGTGTAGCTTTCTAGCCTTCTGGTCGTATGGCCTTCTATCTCCTGCCTACTTATGTAAACGGTTCCCTCTGATCAATACAACTACGCATTATTCTCTAATATGGTATCCGACGCGGTTACGATTCCGCTCACGCTTCCGCAATCCTAGCTGCTGCTGACCGATCGCCTGACGTCCCTGCCGCCGAAGCTTCGCTCGCCAGGCACAGCCGCCGATCCCTCGCCAGCACCCTCTACTCGCAGCCTGCTGATTCCATCGCGCTGTGTCCGATGGCTGTTGATGCCGAAGCCGCGGCACGTGAGGCCGAGGAGGCCCAGCAGCGGGAGGCTGCCCTGGACGCCCACGAGGCCGATCACGCCGCCCTGTGGGCGCAGGCCACGGCCGTCGTCAGCGTCAAGGCCTGGATTCCCGTCGTGCTGGAGCAATCGGCCAACAACTACGGCAAGTGGCGCGGCCTCTTCCTAGTGGTGCTCGGCAAGTACGCCCTCGCCAGCCACGTTCTCGCCGACGAGGCTCTCCCGGAGCGCCCCGCATGGGCGCAAATGGACTGCACCGTTCTTACTTGGATCTACAACACGGTCTCCAGCGACTTGCTGCAGTCGCTGATGCTTCACCAGTTCTCCGCCCGCGGCGCTTGGCGTTTCCTGGAGGACGAGTTTCTCGGCAACAGCGAATCCCGTGCGCTCCTCCTCGAGACGCAGTTTCGCAATTTGCGCCAAGGATCCATGAGCATCACCGACTATTGCCGCCGACTGGAGTCCATGGCCGCGTCTCTCAGCGACCCTATTGGTGATCGTCAGATGGTCCTGACGCTCCTCCGCGGCCTCAACGGCCAATATCGCCACATGGTGTCTATCCTGAAGATGCATCGCCCGTTCCCCACATTTGAGGAGGCTCGGACTCACCTTCTGTTGGAAGAGATCGAGCAGGAGGCACGGCCGCCGTCGCCGCCGTCCGCACTCGTCACCGTGCCCGGACCATGTCCGCCACCGCGCCAAGGCCAACCTGGCGGCTCTACTTCGACACCAGCTCGCCATGGTGGCTCTCTGTCTGTGCGCCCGCCAGCACCAGCGTACAACTCCGGCGGCGGCCAGCGCAACAACCGCCGACCCTCCACTGGGGACGTGCACCCGTCCTTCTCCCATCCATGGGCGGGGACGGTGCAGATGTGGCCCTACGACCGCTCTGGTCGCCCACCGATGGCGCCACCACCGACATTCGCCGCCCCGGGGTTCACTGCCGCGCCATCCGTGCCCTCACCTGGGTTCGCCGCGGTGCCGTTCAACCCCTACGGCGCCTACGGCTTTTCCCAGTATGGTGGCCCCTCAGGTCCCTACTACGGGGGAGCCCCTCCTCCACAGACCACAGTCGGCTCCACAGCCGGCATTCCAGTCACCGGCGCCCTGGAACCCAACCCACGGTGGCTCGTGGGATCCGAACTCCTTGGCAAACTCATTCAACACGATGACGCTCAACCCGCCTCCGACTTCCGAGTGGTACGCCGACTCCGGAGCAGGCTCCCACATGACCTCCGCCACTGGTAACCTCTCCACAATTTCCCCATATTCATCATGCACTCCTTCATCTATCATCGTTGGTAATGGGGCCTTACTTCCTGTCACTGCCACCGGATCTCATCATTTTTTTTTTTCGCACCGCAATCTCGTTCTTAATAATGTTTTGGTCTCCCCTCACATTATCAAGAATTTGATTTCCATCCGACGTTTCACAACCGATAATAATTGTTCTATCGAATTTGACCCGTTTGGTCTTTCTGTGAAGGATTTGCAAACTAGGAACGTGATCGCCAGGTGCAATAGCTCCGGCGACCTCTACCAATTTTCCCACCTTCCACCAGCGCCGCCGCGTTCATTGCAGCCCCCTCCTCTCTTTGGCACCGTCGTCTCGGACACCTTGGTCGTGAAGCTTTGTCCAAGCTTGTCACCTCTAGTGCCATTTCATGTAATAAGGATGATCTAGACCACATATGTAACGCTTGTCAGCTCGGTAGTCATGTGCATCTACCTTTTCATTCATCTAGTTCTCGAGCACTACATAACTTTGATTTAATACATTGTGATCTCTGAACATCTCCAGTCGTTAGTGTCTCCGGTTACAAATATTATCTTGTTATCCTAGATGACTGCTCCCATTACATTTGGACTTTTCCGCTCCGCCTAAAGTCCGAGACATTCACTGTCCTCTCCAATTTCTTTGCCTATGCTCGCACACAATTTCACACCACCATCAAGTGTCTAGTGTGACAATGGTCGTGAATTTGACAATTCTTCAGCCCGCACGTTTTTCCTCCACCACGGTGTTGTGCTCCGCATGTCATGTCCCTATACCTCCTAGCAAAACGGCAAAGCCGAGCGCTCCCTTGGCACCTTGAACAATATTCTACGCTCCCTTTTGTTCCAGGCCAATCTTCCCCCGGTTTATTGGGTGGAAGCTCTTCACACTGCCACCTATCTTATGAATCGGCTGCCCACTAAAACTCTCGCCTTCTCCACACCGTTTAGCTCTCTCCATTCCACCCAACCCTCTTATGAACATCTTCGTGTGTTCGGCTGCGCTTGCTATCCCAACATGTCCTCCACAGCTCCTAACAAACTTTCGCCTCGCTCCTCTCTATGTGTGTTCCTTGGGTACTCCTCCGACCACAAGGGCTATCGGTGTCTTGAACTTCACTCCAATCGAATTATTATATCCCTCCATGTTGTCTTTGATGAGTCATTTTTTCCGTTCTCGGACATGTCCACGACACCTATGGCTCCTTCTTCCACTCTAGACTTCTTGACACTTGATGATGATGCTCCTTCTATTCCCTCTGGAGCTCGTGTTGTGCATGCAGGATCTCCGGCGTCCGTGACGGGTGCTATGACGCACGCCCCTGCACATACCATGCCCGACGTGCATGGCCCTATGCCTCCTCTGCATGACACTGTAGCGCCTACAGTGCCTACACCTGTGTCCATCGCACCTGGTGCTGGTGGCGCCCAGCACATGCCCGTCGACCCGGCTGCACTTGGTGCTGGTGGCGCCCAGCACACGTCCGTCGACCCAGCTGCACCTGGTGCTGGTGGCGCTGCCCACACCTCGACGGCCAGTACCGACCTCGCTGCCCCTGCGTCCAGTACGCCGCGCCGGTTGTTGCCAGTGGGGCTGGCTACACCTCGACGACGTCTGCTGCCGGTACTGCTGCCCCTGTACCTCATACACAGGCTGCTGCCAGCGGTACCGGCCG